ATATATACATATTTATTATTTACCTGGCACCCAAGTCAGAGGAGCACAGACAGCATTGCTGGCACTAATTCTATGAGCATATTTAATTATTTCTTCAGAAGAAATAGCTCCTGTAAGAAATGTGGATACAATGAATGCATGCAACCATCCATTCTGTAACATAAAATTCACTACTAGTCCTTTCAAGTAAAAAATGTAGAAGCACTAACATTATAAAATGATCTTTTCCTTTCATTTTCCTGAGTCCGTTCTTTCTTTTTGGCAGTTCTATGTGCATTTCAATCTCTCTTCTATAATTGAAATTTATCTTAAAAGGTGCTACATTTTCATATGGTATGATGATTCACATGAGAAACTCTGAAATACCCAAATGAAAATAATTTCTGTGTCCTCAAATTAAATTCTTGTGCAAAAATGATGCAGTAAAAGCCAAACACTCAGAACATTCCTTTCTGCTGATTCATGTATATATTACAGACAGCAACAGAGACATTACAGTAATGTAATTTACTGTAATTTACTTTCTGTTTTGCTCTATAATTCTACATAGTTAAATTACAGTTCCCAGGTGTGCTCTAATGTAAAGAATGCTGGGAGTTGCAATTTTCAAATTTCTGGAAGGCCACTGTTTCCCCTTCTCATCATTATATCTAGCATCCTGTGAAGCACCGTCTTTACAAAGCTGGAGAAACTAAATCAAGAATATGTGTGTGGTGCAATTGCTCCTTTTAGTTTCACCTCAATCCTCTTCTAAATAGCTGCTCCGGCAGGAAGCTGTTGTTGGACTCCAAGATCTCATAGAAAATTGCATAATTTTATTTAATTTGTTTTGGTCATAGCTGTATCAAGGTGCAAATGCCTGAAAATGCCTTTGAGTGAACAATAAATTATATGTAGTGCCACTGAACTGTTATTTTTCAAATGTACCATGAATTTTTTAAAATATATAATTACTGAAGAAAATAAATGATTAAACAAATATTTATAAATTTCATAAGACATGCAATCATCAATTTATGGTTGTGGAAACAGACTTCCTAAGAAATAATTAAAAACACTTACCCTTTCTTGCCTTTTCTATTGATTTCAGTTTTTCTTTTGCTTGATAAACAGCTGTAGCCTATATGTAAAATACTATTTATTGTTATGCTGATTTATAAAAAGCATATTAATCTTTCATAAATCCTCTTAAAAGAAATTAAAATTAGTTTAGTATAGGAAATATGCAAGTTATCCTAATCAAGGGAAAAGTTTAAGAAAAATGGCTTGGCTATTTAACAGAATCCCAAGAATGTTTCTGCACTTCTTTAGGACTATATTTCTAACTAATGTGCTAACAATAACAACAAAATCTTGACCCAGTGCCTGGTTTAAAATTGTACTAAACCATAGTTTAATCATGGGCTATTAAACAAGAACTGGCTGGCTTCATACAAAATGCTAAGACAAAAACTAAACTGACTGATTTTGTACAGCATGCTAGCCAAATTATGGCTTTGGTCCAAAGAATTGTACAATTCAACCTCTTGCTTAATTACAGTTGCATATGCTGTATAAATTCAGGCAACAATTTTACAACCAGAGGTTGCAGGCTTAACAGAGCCATTATATCTTATTTGGTAACATGCTTTAGGATTTATCTAAAATACTCACATGGTTTTGGCTAGCACATCCAAATATCAAGAAAAAAACCCTGCAGACTAGCACAGTGAAAGAAAACAATTTCAAGAAAGTAAAAACAACTTTGGCTTGCAGTAACATGGCAACCAAGGAAAGGAAGAAATTAAAAATAAACTAGCCTAATTTGCATTTACTAGATACATTTAATACTAACAAACTATACCAAGTTTCTGTATGACTGATTTAATAGACACAAACATCAAGACATCGAGCACTTCACTCACCAGAATATGTTCTGCTTCTTTTAGTTGTTTTTGAAGCTGCTGAATATCATTGTCTCTTTTCTCTATAACTTTTTCCAATACCTGCATTTCATGGTGGATTTTCCCTTGATCAAGAGCTAGTTTCATCAATTCTTGGAACTCTTTATCCCGCTGAATTAACAATTCCAGGATCTGTACAATAAATAATTATATATTACAGGAAAATGTAACTTGTCAATTTCAGGATTTCCAATAAAATCAAATCTTGTAGTTGTTTTTGTTGTCACAAAGTAGCTATCTAGATTTTCTAATAGCTCTATTTAAAAATCTCAGGCCCTGAATTAAAAAAAAGTATAAAAGTGTCCATGTAACAACATTACAGTAAAAGTAGAGAAGCAGACATATTAGTTTATTTTTCAGGCTGGTCAACGTAGATAATTAACAAAATATTTTTTCTATAGTTTTATAAGATTTTCAAACTCTTTACCTGGCTCTCTTCCCCAGGTTGTGTTAGCTTCTGGTTTCTTGAAATTGCCAAAACTTCAATCAGTTCTCTAAAGCAAAACAATATAAGTATGTGACCGAAAAGGAGACAGTTTTAGTGTATTACCTATTCCTCCAAAGCAAATAAATTAAGTCTTCCTTTCATCTTAAATTTCGCTCCTGTTGTTTCAGCTAATCAGGGAAAATCCAGTTAGATTTAATATTTGAGGGAAATAATTGTTATAAAAATATGATTGATAAATGCAGTTAGTAAAAAAATTAAAACAATGTAAGTGGTCTTATAGTAAAAAGATAATAGATGGGGATGGGGATTCTAGTTTTAAAAATATAGTTTGTGAAATTGAGCCAGACAGGGCATGGTGTTCAAAGTGGACATCCTGTCTATGATGGACATTGTAGTTTTTTTCCCCTTTAACTGTGAAAAAACAGTAATTTCTTTTTTTCCCTAGTCATCAATTGCTAACAACTATGTATTGTCAAGTGAAGTAGCATTTGCAATGTAAAGCAAACCTTTAAAATTCTGCTCAGGGATGCATGTACACTCAATTGGAAAAAGTAATTTTTGCACCCCACAAACTTGAACATTGACATGTAAAATGTTTGAAGAACAATTTTCAACAAAATCCAGATTCAAAAAAGAGCAAATTTTATTTTCCGTTTCTAACACATCGTGAGCACGCTTCCCTCAACTGATGCTTCCCAAGTCTGTTCATGAACGTCTCCCAGCCCTCCACTTTATGATTAACCTAGCCAGATTGGGCTACTAAGGCACCAGGCCAGAAAGCAAGTGAGTTGAATTCATGCCTTAGCCAGGAAAGCCACCTGGATGACCTTGGGCGAGTCTCTCTCAGCCCAACCCACCTCACAGGGTGGTTGTTGTCGTGGGGAAAATAGGAGGAGGAAAAAGTATTGAACGTGTTCGCTGCATTGAGTTATTTGTAAAAGTAATAAAGGCGAGATATAAGTAAATAAATAGTTCATTTTGTCACGTGAACCTAGAAATTAATAATTTGAAATTGGGTACTTATTAACCGTCCAATAACGTTATGCGCACGTCGCGCCCCGAGTCCCACTTTAAACCACCCCGTTGGCTAAGGATAGGAGTCCGGAACGAAGACGACGACGACAACAACAATAATAATAATAACAACAGCCCCGAACACTGACTGCCTTAATTAATTCCTGGTTAGGCTATTCCATGGCAAGCGCAAAGTCCCGCAGCGAAGCGCAGCCCAGAACAGGTCCGCGGTGCAACGCCCACCAACGCCCACCTGGCCAGCAGCTCCAGATCGTCCAAGGCAGCCAACAGCCTCTCCCTGGTGCTGCTCTGGTCCCCGCTCGCTCCGGCCGCCATCTCTGCTGGCCGGAAGGGGAAGCCGCGGGAGAGATCCGAGAAGCTGCCGCGCTCAATGAGGTGAGAGCGGCCCCTGGTGACCTCGGCGTTAAGGCCTGCGCAGGGAAAATAGGGATATTCACGCGGCTTTCGGTCCCAGTTCTGTTCCGGAGCCTCGCATTAATGAGACTGCTTGTTCCCTGCAAGGGCTCCTGCTGGGAAAGAGAACCCCGTTCATTGGGGCCGTTTTAACGGAAGGTGGAAGATAGATGGTGGCCGGCCTATTACGCCTGCATTTAACCTCTTGCATCTCTTCATAGGTTTCGGCCAAGGGAAGGCCTCTCTTTTTTCCCCCTGCATACCATCCGAATTCGTTGCGAGGGGGGGAAGCGTTTGAAACGTTCACAACAGTATAAATAAAATTAAAGCTCTTTGGATAAAAGGCAGGAAAAGGGAAGTTTTCTTCGGAGCTACTGTATGTTGGGAAAGGTGGAACGCAAAACGACATCAGCAGCAAGTAGAAAGACTCAGTTATAGAGTCGGTGGCTGTCACCGTTGGAGACTTGAAAGGCCCGGTTAGGGATAGATCGTTATGGAGAAAATCTGTCTGCGGTCGCTAGGAATCGAAAACAACTCGACGCTACATAATCAAATCCCTAAAATACTTTGAAGGAGGGGCGGAGCAACTGGGGCGTCAAAGCACCAACTTAACCTTTCTCAGGGTATGCATAAAGCCCAAGGGGCTCAAGACGTCTTACGCGCCGCCAACGCGTGACAACTGTCTCCGCCGGGGGTTTCCGCTTCCTCCCTGGAGCAGGAAGAAGAGTACTGTAAATCCATCAAGAGGCTGGGCTGCCTTCGGATCAGTTCCTGTCTTTCTGCGCAGGCGCGGGGCGGGCGGGGCTATTCTCGAGCGCGGCGGGGCTCCGCAGGAAGGAGGTCAATCATGGCCGCTTCCGTGATCTATACGCGGATGGTCACCGCGGCCGCCCGGCAGCTGAGCTGGTGCCAAGGTGGCAGCAGCCACGCGAGTTTGAATGCTGCTGCCAAGGTGAGCGAGCGGGCAGTGATCCCTGGCAGGGAAGGGAGGGTCAGCTGCAAGAGACACACTGCCCCGAGGCGCCCCGAAGGGGATCGGGTGCCTCCTTGCCTTGCCTCGCCTCCTTGCTTTGCAGCGAAAGAGCACACATGGAGGGCAACTGTGGCTCCGGCCATTCTTCCCACCCTCATCCTCTCCTCTTCGAGTGTCTGGCCACTATGCTGGCTTATTTTAGCACCTCTCAGGGGGTTGGAAAGAAGAGTTGATACAGATGAAAGCAGAGAGGGCTGGCCGGAATGGTGTTGGGGATCCTGCCAAGGAAAGTTCAAACTCTGAATTTCAGTTTGAAGAATAGTGAAGAGAGTTGGGATCACTTGGCTAAAGCAAGGTCACTCAGAAAGATCATGACATGTGTCACTATGCTTGTGGCATCATAAAGGGAAAAGCAAGGTACATTATCAAAGGTTGTATTTATGTATTTTGGATGCAGGTTTTGCTTAATTACAAGTGGAACAGCTACAGTAAGGTCTGCATGAGCACTGAAATTCAATATATTTTTTTAGAAAGAAGAAATAAGATATTGATAACTGCAGCCTCTTCTACACTTGAGGGATAACATTCTGGAGTGCTGTTGATTGTCATTGTGTATTGATAGTTGGGGGAATGTGTGTGGAACTTTCAGGTATCTTTTTAAGTATACAGCCTTGAGATGAAGGTGCCTCCTTAGAACAATTCATATACTGCAATACTATAACACTCCTGTTAATAAATTCTTGGGACCATGTCTTTATTGAACATGCTAAGCTAATATTCACTGCTTTTGTAGGAAAGGATATGTGAAACCTTAGGATAATCAGCTATCTTAGGGATACATTGAATCACATTTCAGTGAGTGAGATGGCAATCAGAGTTTAAGGGCTCCTCCCCTATAAACAAACATGCACGTTGATTGCCATCATTGGAATCTGCTCTTCATAAGTTTATAGAACTGAATCTTGCCCCAGTCAAAAGAGATGCAGGCAGTCTTCATGTTGATGTTCAGGAGTCTGGAAAGAGCTGCCAAATTCTTGCTAAAGATTCTGGCCTCCGTAAATCAATAGTAAGGCATCCATTGTTTATTCATGTGACAAAATGTCGCACGGCATGAAGAAGGGATGATGCTAAGATCTGAAATCTCCACCCCTCGAGCAGTTATTTTTGCTAGCATTTTCCCTCCCTTATTTTGCTGTCATGATTTACATTCTCCAATTAGTTTGAAGGGCAAAGGTTCTCTTCCATTTGCAACTAATACTTTCTTCTCCCCTCCCAGCGTCTTCTGAGTTAACTCTAAAAATACCACACAGCTCTGCATATTTTGTCAGAGCAAGAACATCCAATGTTAGCAGCTTTGACATCCGGCCCCACTTTAAAAAAACAGATCCTGGAATGTAAACAAAAGCATATGTTAGGGGCTATTTTTCGGTTTATTGGGGTATTTTGCATGAAACCTTTTGATGAGTCTATCAGCTTTCACCTTGCTGGATTTCACCCAGGTGGCTTCAGACAACGGGTATCCCTTCCATTGTACTAGGTACTGTAATTTCCCTTTAAAAATTCTAGAGTCAAGAATATGTTTCACTTCATAGTGGGTCTGTCTCGCAACTATGAGGGGCCCGGGTGCCTTCTTAGGGGGAGGTCTTAAAGTGGAGTCCCGATAAGGCTTCAACAAGCTGCAATGGAAGACTGGGTGAATTCTCCCTAAAGGTCTAGGGAGTTTTAGTTCTATGGTGACCGGATTGATAATCCTTACTATGGGGAAAGGCCCCAAGAATTTTGGTCCCAATTTTTTGCTGGGCAATTTGAGGCATAAATATTTAGTTGACAGATAAACCTTTTCCCCAACTTGGAATGTTCTTTGGGGAGCCCTCTTTCTATCAGCCTGCTTTTTATAGGTTTCAAAAGTCTTTTTTAACGCAGTTTTTGTGTTTCTCCAAACTTCTTCCCACCCCCTCACCCATTGGTCAAGTGTCTGGGAAGCGGAGGGCACCTGAGGGTATTCAGGTATTGGGCTGAACTCTTTTCCTGTGGCCACTCTGAAAGGCGTGTAGCCGGTGCTGCTGTGCACAGAATTATTGTACGCCACCTCCGCGAAAGGGAGGAGGTCAGTCTGCCAGCGGCTGCAGTAACCCTGGGGTTTTCCCTGGGATTCTTTTCATTGTGGCACATACAGTACAACTTTTTACATAGTTTCAGCCCTGGCCACCAAAATTGTCGGCGGGTAAGGTGTAGGGTTTTCAAATATCCAAAGTGTCCAGCCTGTTTTACATCATGGCTGTGTTTGAGAGCATTAAGACGGAGGGCTTTGGGCAAATATAGTTTCCCCCCTTTGTAAGCCAAGCCATCCCTGCACGTTAGAGAGGTTTGATTATCTTTGAACCATTGATCGATGAGGAGCTCTCGTTTTATTTTCTTTATCCCAGGGTCATCAGGATTGGAGACCCTGCGAGGCGTAAGTTGAGCGGCAGTTTGTGGAGTGGGGATAATTGCCTCGTTAACCTCCTCCCGGTAACTTTTGCATTGGGGTAACCGGGATAGCGCATCAGCTAGAAAGTTTTTTCCTCCTGGTATGTACTTTAGAGTGAAGTTGAAGCGGTTAAAGTACTGTGCCCACCGCACTTGCTCTGGGGACAATTTGCGGGGAGTTTTCAGTGCTTCTAGGTTTTTGTGATCAGTCCATACTTCAAATGGCACCTTGCTCCCTTCTAGATAGTGTCGCCAGTTTAATAGCCCCCACCTAATCGCGAAGGCCTCTTTCTCCCAGATTGCCCATCTCCGCTCGCTTCCACTAAATTTCTTAGAGGTGTAGGCGCAGGGTTGCAGGACCCCACTTTTGTTCTTTTGCAGTAATACAGCTCCAACTGCCACATCGCTGGCATCGGCTTGAATCACAAAGGGCTCCCCTGGGCAGGGGTGCTTTAGGACCGGTTCAGCAGCAAATAGTCTCTTTAAACTCTCAAAAGCTGTTTGACAGCCCATCATCCATGCTAGTGGTTGGCCCGGTCGTGGCTTCCCTCCTCCTTTGCCTGTTTTGAATAGTTCTGTCAGGGGTAGGGCAATCTCTGCAAAAGAGGGGATGAATTGACGATAAAAGTTGGCAAAACCCAGAAAGCTCTGGAGCTGTTTGCGTGTTTTGGGGGGCTACCATTCGATTATAGATTTCACCTTGGCTGGATCCATTTCAATACCCTCGTTGGAAATTCTGTAGCCAAGATAATCTAATTGGGTCTGGTGAAATTCACATTTTGACAATTTGGCATAAAGCTTGGCATTCAATAGTTTCTTTAACACTTCTCTCACCAGCTTTATGTGATCAGTCATATTCGTGCTGTATATCAGGATGTCATCAAGATACACCAAAACCCCTTTGTACAAGTGATCATGTAGGACCTCATTAATCAACTGCATGAATACGGCTGGGGCTCCCTGTAGTCCAAACGGCATGACCTTGAATTGATAGCTCCCCATGGGGCAGTTGAAGGTAGTTTTCCATTCGTCTCCCTCCTTTATTCTCACCCAGTAATATGCCTCTCTCAGCTCTAATTTAGTGAAGACACTCCCCTTAGCCAGATGGGTTAATAAGTCCTTTAGGAGAGGGAGGGGGTATTTATTTTCCACACTCACAGCGTTGAGACCCTTATAGTCTACGTAGAGACGAAGAGACCCATCTTTTTTCTCTTTGAACAACACGTATCACTGCATCTCCTCCATTTCGAGGGGGGACATAGCATACATTCTCGGGCGTGGGAGTTTGGCTCCTGGCACCAGTTCGATAGAGCAGTCATTGGGTCTGTTAGGGGGCAGGGCATCACATTCTTTTTCATTAAATGCCTCCACTAGGTCCCGGTATTCATTGGGGATGAGTGGTTCGCCTGGCGGCGGTGAGGCAGCCATGTGCGCTAGCTCATTGGGTGGCCTAAGATGTCCTGCAACATCGGTTGAATCAGTGGGAGGTTTAGGCCCTATAGGTAGTCTCACAGTTCTCATTCCTTTCTCCCACCAGATAAATGGCTTCCAATTGTCCAACCAGGCTAGCTCTAGGATCACAGTCTCAGTCATTTTTGGAGCCACTAGGAAGCGAATAAACTCCCAGTGCGCACCTATTTCTACGCGTAAGGGCTCAGTTAATTGTGTGACAACAGTCCCTCCCATCAGGGAGCCATTGGCTTGCTCAAACCTCACAGGTTTGGAAAGCTGTTTTGCCCATATGCTCATTTTCATGGCAGACTAATAATGCAGCGGGTGCATCCAGAATCAATTAGCATGTTTAAGTCCAT